ATCTAAATGTTTACTCCTTTGGATGCTTACATGAATTTGGTTGTACATTTAGAATATTAAGTACCACAGGAAAAGGATACTTAAAGCTCTAAACACTCCTTACCCTTGATATTGATACAGTCAAGTCCTTAAGGCCTAGGTGTACGGTATCATATCTAGCATCTTATTTGTCACATTGTGGTAGACATGGGTTCGAGTGAAGCTTTTTGGTGGTCTTTTCGGGGAGCCCTGTCAAAAGACCACTGCAGTAGTCGACTAAATTCCCTGAGTTTGGTTGTGTTTGTAGAAGAAGATAACAAGCTGATTTTGTTACTGCTTTTATGTGGCTATTTAGACTAAAGTCAGAGTCAACTGTAACCCCAAGGGAGGCCACCACAGCTTATAAGAGTCTAACTGAATATTTGGGAAGTTTAATATAGGTTAAAAATAACACACATTACATAATGCACCATATTATATATTTCCATCATAAAAAGTGCTACCCCCCACAATATGGATTAATTTATTACAAAACAGGGGGAAATTTTGTTTGTTACAAAATCCTGGTGTTGTTACATAATGAAGTGAAAATGTTTTACATTTTGTCGCGTTATTACTTTCAGTTTTACCACCAAATAAAGTGGTTTAGATCTGGCTAATCTATTGGCTTGTTTACAACCTATCTGATTGTCTATTTGTGTTTCTTGCTCCATCAGACATTGTTAAGCAATATCGTTGTGTTGCCAGATTTCAGAGATCACTTTGGTGAGAACAGAGTTTTCATAACTAATAGAAATGATGGCCAAAAGTCCACCAGTGAACCGTTCCACTCTGCACTTATTGCTACATGTTTCTGAAAGATTCTGGTGATATAGATATTGAAGCATAAGCCAGTCGGTCTCATTCATGTCTATCCTGGTTTGATGCTGGCTGAATCTGTAAAGCATGAATGTGAATGCAAATCCTTTCCACACATAATACTTCCTATGGGCTGCTTGCTGTGCCCAGGGACATTGTAGAGCTACCACTGGGGGTGATTGTTGTGATAGAGGTTATAGTTTTCTCTGGTATGTGTGGAGAGTGTAAGGAGACACTGTGGGCCGTAGGGAGAGGACTGACCTGCTGGACCCTCTGACCTCCCAGTCCTCTCAGGAGAGGCCGCTGTGCCTCTCTCCTTCTACCCTCTATCTGGAAGTAAATCTGAGCTACAGCATGCATGAGTTAGGAGCCATCTGCTTCCAGAATAAGTTTGTATAAGTGATTGACTCCTTGTTTTTCTTGTTGGGTAACTCAAAAGTTAGTTCCAAGGAGGTTGGTGTGTAAGCTGTTATGGATTTTGACGTTCGCTTTTTCTCCGCCTAAGTTTGTCTACGTGGGGGTTTGTTTAAATCCTGTTTATCTGATTACTTTTTAGTGATGTCAGTATGTTGACTAGAACTGGACTAGAACTGAAATTATGGTTATGTGGTTATGGAAAAGCCTTGTAGTGTATTAAGTAAGATCTTGTGATACTCTCACTGCATCATTGCAGATAGATTCCTCCCTGTTGCTTTTGGCTCAGAGGGCAGTGTTGCGCTGCGCCATGCCTGCTGTATCACTCAGCTGCTAGACCTAGCAGTGGCCTTTGATCACATGAATGGCCTTAGCTGAATAAGCTGGCAAAATAGACCACCCGGTACAAACCCATCCCTTTGTAGAGGAGTTAGGAAGATAGCACTGCTGCTGTGAAACCTCCTCGATCACTGAATACGACCCTGGCCTGTGAGTGATCTCTGGTGTTTATACTATGTGTTATGTGCTTGTGCAGAGAATACCACTGTGCAGTGGGCCAGACAGTCCTCTCCGTCTCAGTGAGCTGGTGAAGTAAACAGATTGTGGTTCAGCAAAGCCTAACAGCAGCTTTCTGGTGGTAAGTGCCGTCCCTGTGCCATTGACATTGCATGATTTGCAAGTGTTTTATAAAGGCTGAAATTGAACCCAATAGTGCATAACTGGAGTCTACAGTTACTCCAAAGACAGCAATTAACTCTGTTATGGTACCACAGTCTTTTCATAAGCAGGTAATAGAAGGTTATAGAGACAAAATGAAAGAGCCTAGTGCTTTTATTGGCCAAAAGCAAAGTGAATATGTTAGCTTTCAACAATATATTTTTTTTTTCGGTTTGCAAGACAAAATAATAATTGTGTCCCTCTGCAGCTAAGTTTGACATTTTAATGTTTTAAATCAAAATAGATTCATTTTAGCTGAGACAGAAGTTATCCAGGGTGCCATGAAGGTTTGGTACAGACTGACAGTTAACCAGCTGGGGGTATACGTTATTAGCCATCCCATCTGGGTTTTCCCCCTCCCTACGTTACTGTGTGATGTCATTTAAATCCCGGGGTAAAGTATAGAGTGCGGAGGTTGGTCAGGTCAGTTGCTACCACCACAACTGGCCCCATGAAAGGAAAACAGCTAATGCTAACCAGCAAATCTCCTTTCCACTGTAAAATGTGGGCCAAACACAATATACTGAGTTTGCAGGGGCTGTGTGTGTGCTTCTATCCTCTTATTTTTATGTTCATTTCCAATTTGCAAGTAAAAAATTCTGAGTGGAAATGCCAGAAATAAAAAACAATATTGCAAAAAAGCTTTTAGACTTGGCTGAGGTTGAAAGCTTGATATAGCCTATCTATAATAACAAAATGGGACAGTGCAATGAAAACTGAGCAAATACAAGTACAAAGTACAGGAAGTACAAAGAATATATGTGCCTTAAACCCAGTGCTTAAATGTCACTCAAGCCTCCGCTCCACTGAAGGGATTAATATACTGCAGCAAACAAAGGCTACGTTCACACCAAAAGCCTTAGCGCTTAATTCTGATTTATTGTTCAGATCTGATTTTTTTGTTTAGCTGTTGATGTTGTTTCTTGAATGTGGGCCATATCAGATTCCAGTGTGAAGAGGTCACGGTCCTGAAGTGATTCGCATGACAACTGTCCGTCTAGAGTGACATTAAATGAAATGTGTTCACACGGAGGTCAAATTGCAAAGAGTCAGAGTTTAATCTGATTTGGAGCACATATGAAAGTGCCCAACATTTGAATTGACAAGGTCAGATTCAATGTGATTTGGACTGTTCACACTGCCATGAAAAAGTCACATCTGAGTCACATATGAGAAAAACAAAACTTATTTGAGTCACTTTGGCCTGCTGTCTGAATGCAACCAAAAACATCACATCTGTGTGAAGCAATGAGGAGACTGTAACCTTCTTCAAATTAATACATGAAATGCCATAGTTCCATCACGCCTTTTTATGGTTTCCTGTTTAAGGTTTGACTTGAGTCATCTCCTTGGCCCTCTTGGTGTAATGGCACCCAACTGAAGAATTAACACCACCAACTGTTTATCTAAATGCAACCAACTCCTAATATTTACATAACAGTAGTGTATGGAAACACATATTAATTCACATTTTCTGGAAATTCATTTAGGATTTGAGCCACATTGGGAAATGTCTGACTACAGACACAGCATGTAAAGAAATAGTGGGAATCGCCACCAATGTTAACAAGCAAGGTTAACCACCTTCCTTACTTTCTGAATGGAATACAAACTCCAGTGTCCAGTATGTAGGACTCAGTGGCATCTAGTGGGCTTGAATACAGCTCAGCCTTCCAAGCATGTAGGAGAAACTACAGTGGCCACGAAACAGCTAGAGCCAGTGTTTGTCCGTTTGGGGCTACTGTAGAAACATGGTGGTTCAACATGGTGGACTTGAGGAAAAGGACCCAGTCCCTCTGTAGATAAAGTCATTCTAATTTAACAGTTCGGCTAATCTCTATAAACGGATATCTGCATATGCATGCAGATTCCTTCTTTTAAAAAGCTAAAACTGCATTGTGGCCAGTGTTAAGCCTCTTTTGCATTACCTGCATGCAACCAAACGCAGCTATGCGATTGGTCAATACTGCTCAGACAAATGGAAACCAGAACACTTCAGATGACAGAATCTTGGTCCCTCGCCTACAGATCCTACATTCAACCTTTTATATAACCAAGGCTGTTTTGTGGGTTTGTTAAAAGGAAAAAAATGTCTTATCATGTTCAGACTATATATATTCGGTTATGACGTGCTTCGGTCAGTAGCGCATCACGGAAGTTTACGGCACAACACCAGCTCTCAGATGTCAGTAACTTCTTTCATGGGAAACTCAACCCCAGAGGCTTGAAGCTTTGATGCAGTTTCCACAAATATGTCCAAAAATTGTCTTATGCTCTTTTTAAATTTGGAAAAATAGCTGCAGTAACATTACATTTTATATTTCCTTAGACAAAGGGAAAAGTTTCTATTCCATTTCAACTTGAACCCTTGTTCTGTTTGGAATAGTAAATATAGAGCTGACTGAGGCCTTGTTTTGCTCTTGTGAGGATGACTTCTCTGCCATACATAACTGGAATGTGACAACCTGTTTATTAGTCACTTGAGACATATACCTTCCACACGGTCCTATGGGCTAGCACGACATAACTTGGACGTATTTGGAACTGCTTACAACATGGTCTTTGTGGAGAAGTCACAACTGTCTTTGGACCCGGGTGACACACATGCAAATGGGCATTAGTTTCAGCATGTGCAAAACAACTTTTAAGTGGCCTTCAGTATCCAGCAATTCAGATCTCTGGGAGCTACTATTTTTAGCCTGTGACAATACGTCCTTTGTGCTGGATGTGTCACACTCAGGCTCTTCCTGTTAAGAGCCTCACACAATATCCATAAATTTAGCAGCGTTTGATGGTCTGACCTTGGAAAACAAAACAGAAAGCTCATGTCTGGGACTGCAAGGTAGAGCTGGGCCGGGATATCACAGCAGCTGTTTCTTTTCCGCCTGCAGAGTGCGGAGTGAGTGTTGAAGCTTCAGACCCTCTGCCCACCCTAAATGAACAGAGGGAAAGGGGAGGGGGAGAGCAGAGGGAGGGAGGGGTGCTGCCTATTGAGCCCAAGGTGAAAGGGTGCCACGGTCCTGCAAATGGAGATGGGGAGCTAACACTCAATCTGACTCAGCCAGTCAGGGGGAAGATATGCAGTCTGGATGGGTGCACTGTCTGCCTTCTGCTCAAGAGACAGAAGCCCTCTGTTGCTCATTTGCCTCTCTGTCTGTTGTCTTTCTCTCTTTTTCTCTTCCCCTCTTCCCCTCTCACTCTTTCTCTCAATTTCAAGCCATCCCATCTGTATGTGATTTAGGCGCAGGCTCAGGGGAGAGGCAAGTCCGCTAGGAGAGAGGAATCAGTGCAGGGAGGGAGGGAGAGAAAGAGAGGAAGTCCACACAAGTTTGTTTAACAGGACTCAGCCCGGGCCGGGACTAGGCGCAGTGCCGCATCTGGAGGTCGGAGCAGTGGAAAAGTGAAGCCAACGGGTGCAGCAGAGCAAGAGGAGCTGCCCAGAGACTTTCCTACGGCCAGGAGACACTGACAGGGACACAGACAGAGAGGGGGGATCAGTGCTCCACTGGGCAAACACACAAATATGGCTGCTAAATCTCTGTCCTGCCTCTGCCTTCTATACATCCTCTCAGGGATTGTCTATCCAGCTTCTGCCGCCAGGCTTGGGGAACAGCAACAGTCGGGGCTGAAAGTAAGACAGATTTGGTTTTATCTCTTTTTGGCTGGTAAACGGCATATTCTAGCATGGTTATGTTTAGCTTCAGGCTTTTTCTGAGGCTGCTGATCATGTAAACAAATGTTAAGGTGAAAACTGTGAAGGATGGGGTAGGTTTGTGAGTGTTTTGGGAGGGATTAGTTGGCTGTCTAGAGGACTCTCTCAGGACTTCTATGTGTTTGTCTGGACTTCACAATGGTCCTGCTTTGCATGTGTGTGTTTGTGTCATCAGAGGTACCCCAAGGCTATAGCTCACATGGGCTCTGAGTTACTGTCTCCACCACTGTCATGCCCCTCCTGCCCCTCCCTTCTGACAGTTCCCTAATGGAAACCAGCTGCCAAATGTTGAGCAACACCCCAGAGAGAGAGAAAGACAGAGCACAAGAAGCCATACAGGACCACTGGCCAATGTTCCCTTGGCTTTGTATAGCTGCAGAGGATGAGGCCCAACTTTCATCTGTGCAGAAAGTTTTCATTAGAAATTGAAAAACTATAGTTTTTTACTATTTTTTGGTATTTATTATTTATTTATTCATTCAAAGTATTTGCATACTGTTATTGTATCCCCATATAGTAGTGCATTAGTTGCTGGTAATTCTGCCTTCCTTACATGGTTAAAATTGTGTCCATGCACAAAGGATTCACAGGAAACAATGCGATGGAAACAATTCAGACAAAGACCAGCGCTTGCATGCAGTTGACATAATGCAGACAGCAACATTTGATCATGATTTCAGAATTAACGTGTAGCATAACACAGTTTATGTCTTCTTCTGTCTTTTTTATTAAAGCAATATGCTCGATGAATCCTCTCCGCTCACTCTTGGCTGTCTGCACTGTAACCTGTTGCATTTCTGACAGAGTTGTTTCCAATGGTCGATACCAACCCCCAGGAAGAGTGGCGGGCTTTGAAGCCAATTTGACATAGTGGCCAAACTATTAAATTACAGCAATGGCATCCTTCAGGTGATGCACACTGGCCCCAAATATCTTCCCATAAGCTTACATTGTGAAAGAAGCGGCTGTAAAACAGTGGATACATTTTTTAGAGTGCCACAACCCACCGTGGAACGACTCGTTTCTCTATCAGAATTTGATCCATTTGATCTGGAAGAGCCGCATAATAAAATCGTTTTATCCCAATTGAAGTTGACAGTGGGCCACATTGGAGGTTAGTGGCTATTTCTTTATTGCGTATTATGTAGGCACCTCAAGATTTATGTTAATGCAGAAAGTAGTGTGTCCTTAATGTAGCAAGGCAGGCAGTCAGGGTGTGGAGGCTGTGGAGCTGGATGGGCGTGTAGGGCATCTGTCATGCAGGAGACGCTGGTATTGGACATCAAAATTTGGGTTTTGCTTTTGATCTTGTCTAACATTGGGATTGTTATATTAACTCAATCTGAGCAAAACCATTATGAATGCTTTACTTTAGATCAACATCCTGCTCCCCAGATTGTGTGATGTCTAACACAGACCTAATGAGCCAATGCATAAAATCTACTCAATATGATTTCTTTCTTGAGATTGATTGGTTGACAGCCTTTTTCTGTACAGTTTTGATGTCATCACTGCTGCACATCCCTGTATACTTTAAATGTGCTGACTGCCTGTAGCTTCAAATAAGTAGAACAAGATGTCAGGCCATAGATATCTACAATTTTATGCTTTTACAGAAATATTCCATTACACTGTGACTGTCATTATGTGGCTGCTTTGGATGCGTTTAGGGTTGATTTGTGTCCATTGGCCACATAGAACTGAATTGGAGAGCCATTATGCTTGGCAACCAAGATATAAGTGGTTATATAGTGACTTTGCTTAGAACAGATTGGTATGAAGAAAGGTCATGGGAGAACGGGCTGTAGGTCAAAAATGTCAAAGAGAACGTGGAGGTATTCAATCATCAAACTTGGGAATGCTAAACCAATGCAATTTAACATTTCTTCCTCATTTATTTTCTGTTGTACATGTTTATTTCTCAATGTCTGAGTTTTTCTGAGTTGAGAGTCCCTGGAGAGGAGGCCTCGCCCCTGCAGCCAGACTGGCTGTGCAAAGTTATTGAGTTACAATGAGATTCTCATGACCCAGGATCTGTAACGTTTGGAGGATGTTCGAAGGAGTTAGCATGACTAAATCCAGTGTCTGAACCCTTCTTCAAGGGCAATTTAAGTACAGCAACCAGCTTCAGTTGGGAGGCAATTAAAGCGGAAATGAGATTCAATTTTCAAGGTTTAACATTAATCCACTTAATTCTCCCACTCTGGGAAAACTCTGTCCGTAGGCAGAGGTATTGTACATAAAAACACACAGAACACAACAAAGGACCAATCACATTTAAATCTATCTATCTTAAATATCTTAGAAATCCAACTCTTTTCATGCTTCCCACCCCCACACACACACTGCAGAGAGAGGGCATTGCCACAGTTTTGGAGCTACACGACCAGAGAGTGTGTTGACTTTGGACAACATTTATCTGTAGAGCCAAATCCTGTTTTTGAGCTTGATACCAGCTCCACTGGCTCTGTATCGCATATATAGAGCCTTATGGTCTATCCTCTAAGCTTTCAGTCAACACACAGGAAATACACTGATAAATACTGAAGAGCCAGAGGAGCGTTGGAGGAGGCAGCTTCACATGAAAACAGAGAGTGGCTATATAACATGTTGAATGTCATCTTTGTTCTCCACTGTAGTGGGCACAGTGGGAGGGCTGCAGAAATAGTTCACATTACTGTGTGTGCTCATAGCTGGCAGACGCTGCAAATGTCAATTGTTTGTATTTTCATGATAGTGAGGGATTAATTTAAGTGACCACCATGTTTGAAATTCCCATTCCAACTTTTCAAACTTCAGTTTCAGTATTACAGAGCTATCCCCAAGGAATATTTCTCTTGAATGAGTAGTTTAACATTTGGGAAATACATTTATTTGCTGAGAGTAAGGTGAGAAGATTGATATCAACCAGATGTCTGTGTGAGAATGGAGCTAACGGACTAGTTAGCCTAGCCCTAGCTTAAAGGCTGAGGAGGAAACAGCTAGCCTGGCTCTGTCCAAAGTTGAAAGCATGGCTACCAACACCTCTAAAGTTCACTAATGAACATGTTGTATCTGTTTTGTTTCACTCAGTGGTTCTCAAACTGCCCCTCAGTCCCACGGCAGGGAGAGAAAATTAATGATTAATGGGAGGGAATAAGCAAACAATGACGCTTTCATGCTAACAAGGCCAGCAAGACTCAGGTTAGCAGCATTTATTTACACAGAAAGACATTGCAAGCAAATAAGTTTGTCAAAACCTATATATGATGAAGTCCAGATTAACTTGATCTGAAGATTGCCTTTTTTGTGAAAAAGTGGCAGTTTGGGCAAAGTTTAACAAATTTCTATTTTCACTAAGCTAACTCATGTAGCCTAATGGTAAACATGCATATCATGTCAATAACAGTATTTCAGGTAGCTTGACTCATTTTGTTACTAATTTGCTAAGTGATATCAACATTTTAACGTCTTATAGAGTTTGTATGCTAATGTCTTAGCAAATAATTTCCTTTTTCACACATCCAGAAGGTACGGAGCAACATTAGCACTGATTTATATGCATGTTTCTGGATACCCAACCAATGTGAGTCAACATTCACTCTCCTTTCAGCTCCATTTTTGGTCTCCACCAAATCCAGAAAAAAATATTGCTTCACTGTGTTCACCATCTAGTTGCTAACTCTGTCTTTGTGCTGTTTGGTGCTGGAAAGTTAGCGTAGAATGGCTTCATGAGAGCTTTTTTCAACATTGTAGCTGGAAAGTATTGCTTGTATGGATTAACTGCTGTTCATTAAAAAGTAGTTATTTTTATATTTCTTTCAATGTTCAGGTTAAATCAATTAAATGCATTAATTAGAGATATCATTCGTTTAATCTCACCCTCAGAATGAAAGTGATTTAGCTCATTTCCCCAGACTTTGAACTATTCCTTTTAAGTCTCGATCTTAAATCATAAATGAAAAATTATTACTACACCAAGTCATCCAAACATGGGCAGAAAAAATGTTATTCCACAAGCTGTTGGGTTGTATACTTGAAATACATTCCTCTCATTTTAGAGCAGTCTAAAGAGTCCATGTTCACCTCAAGACCATCTGCTGGATCTCCCTCTAACCCTCAACCCCCTGCCCTGTACTTCCCAGTGTATACACACTGCAGCTGTTTGACCCATCACAGACTGTCACACAGCTAATAGGTCTGAACCATTCCTAAACTCTTTTAAGTGGCTTTGCAAATGGTAAATAGCTCAGAATCTCTGTGGTTTTCCCATAAACTTGTGGTTTATTACTCCTAATGGCCTGGACTACCATTTAAGGCCAAAACTTCTATCATTTTTCTGTGAGCACCAAACCCATTTGCAATACAAGCTGCTTTTTTAGGATGCGTTTACAAAGGTGGATAATTGAGTGTTTATATGGTAATGATGGATGGGTCTGGCATAAACGTATGTGCACTGTGGGTCAGGGAGGAAGAATGCAGGAAGAATCAGTGCTGCTGTTCACATGGTGTTTCACGTTAGCTGGCTACAGAACCATGTCTTTGTCTCTCGGCCCATCTGTGAATAAGTCAAAGGAAAATGTGAATCATACTGTAAGTAAGCATACAGTACTGTATGTCTGTGGAATGTTGCACAGCATCAATGTCTGATTGACTGAGTGGAACATGGAGGTCAAACTATGGCGTTCTTACAGACTGCTGCGTACAAAGTGCTATTGTATGCCTCATTGAATGGTGCTGCTTCAAATGTTCAAAGATGTTCAAACGGCTGTGTGTGTGTGTGTGTGTGTGTGTGTGTCAGAGTCATGGCTCTGGACTCTGACATTGCACCATCCTGAGAAACCCTGGTGAACAAACATCAGACAGGATGCAGGTTTTAGAATGACATTCTGTAAATGGGAGGGAACTGCTGCAATAATTCCTAACAACTCACTTGGTGCAGTTTTAAGAAGTCAACCTTTTAGCCTGAAACATTTAGACCAATGCTCCAATCTAAACTTCTACTACAAAAAATATTACCGGTGTAAAATGAGCTATTTAGGTGTATCAGTGGTACATTCACAAACATTATCTTCATCCAACAAGATTTGTCCTTTAAGTGCTGTCCTCTTTCAGACATGGACAGACAACTATTCTGATTGGGACCACTTTCAACTGAGCTCTTTAACATTTTACAGCAAAAAATGTTAATAACATTCAATTAATACACGGACCCTGACCCTTTAAGCCCCTAGGCTTGTATCTGGTGGGCCTATTTGGTATTCTATCTACTGTATGCTTGCAGAACTATCTTTGTTATTCATAGTCCAGGCTGAGATTTACAATACCAAGGGTTGAAGAGTAGGTAAGAGTTTATATTGGAAAAACAGTATTGTAGCTTTTGAGAGAATATTCACTTTGATCCTGAGGGTTATTACAGAGCTCAGGCTGGCTCAGGGATAGTGGTTGTTGTAGGCCTATAGACCTGCCGAGACTTTGTCTGTGACTTTGATGAATTCACTTTTGTTAAAGCTGTAACTTACTGTAGCGGTAATGTTTATAAAAAATAACCTTTCTCATTATTGCTGAAAGTCTGAAAGTAGTACATGAGACAGATAATCTGTGATAATCATTAGTGCTCCTAATGGCATTTACGGGAATCCCCAGACCTAAACAAAAACAACTAATCAGAGACAAAAAAGAAATAAAGACACATCAAATGCAAAGCATCAGTATTTGATGCCCTGGGAATGAGAGTCAATAATCAGTCTTTCTTGGCTCTGATTGGTTGTTTTCATTCAGCTCCGGTGCATTCTTGTAAATACCATTAGGGGCACTAGGAGGAGCCAAATAATCTGTGAATTTTTTTTTCTTACAGATTATCTGTCTCATGTACTACTGTCCGGATACATTTTTGCAAATATGTCAAAGATATTTTATTTATTTACATATTTTTATTTTTGTCTAGTTTCTAAAGAAGCCAGTTAATTTAGTTTTGTGCTGTCAGAAATGCTTTACGTTTTGTTATAAAACAGAATACAGGTTGTACAAAATATGAGAAAAGCTTTAACTCTGAAGTTACTCTGCAGATAAAACTAAACCAAAGTGATTGCTGGTATCTGCTCTCTCAGATAGTCAATACATTTAGATATAGTGGAAGGTCTTTACCCAAAAGGTCTAGCTTAACTGCAGCATGTTTGCCTGCTACCAATGGGACCTAATGATGGGGACGTTGGTTAGCCATTGGGTCATCTGCCCTCCATTGTACACTCTGTCCTATAACACAGTATATTAACAGTATTAAAAAGAGAGAAAGAGAAAGATTTCCATGTGTGGGTATTGATGTTCCCCAGAGGATGTGTCCTAAAGAAAAACCTTTTGTTTATCAGGCCAAAAGTTTCACGCATCCTGTTGAAATATCCTGATTTGATTGGCAGATTTCCATGACCTTTACTAAACACGTTCATGCTCAAGGTTCCAGTCATGGAAACACTGATTGAAATGTTACAGCTAGAGGAAAGCTACAGTCAATAGACTTTTTTCACAGCAGCCATTTTGACATCAAATACAGGTGTTACAAATTATGGTCACGTCCCATTCAGGTCAAACAGTCAGGGGGCATGTTGGCTCACTGGAAAGGCTCTGCTACACTGAGTTGAACAGAGCAAGGAAATTGGCCGTGGAGAGAACAGCTGAGAGCACCACAAAAGCAAGTGTGTAAGATAAACGCTGACGACTGTTTGTGAAATCATATGTGAGCCTATTTCTCACTGCAGATCAAGCAAATGTAAGCCAGCACCATTGGTGGTGAAAGCACATCTGTCCATGCACTACAGCAAGTGCTGTTCTGGATTGTTGAGAAAAACTCCTGAAAAATGTCCTGGAAAAGTCCTAGAAAATAATTTCTTAAAAAGAGTGGATGCATCATATAATGATACAATCTTTCCAATTTGAACTCCCTTTGAACTGTTTGTGAAACAGTCTCAATTTAATATTAATGCCTTTGTATGACCCACATAAACAAACAAGACCATCATAGAGAAGACAGGCTGTTTCTATATAGTTATTCTTAATGTCTGCCTCCAGTTCAGATTCCCCTTGAAATCAATGAAACAAGGTGGTAGAAACACCACCGCTTTTGTACACAGGAGCCGCTAGAATCAACACAAAATTAAAGTTCCTTGCATGGGCTGTAAGTAAGAATGTAAATTTCTGTTCCCACTGCAGGTGTGTGGAAAGGGATTTTTCCTGAGCGAGCAAAACTTATGCTTACCATGTAACTGCAAAGGCCATGCAGACTACTGCGATGACATCACTGGTGTTTGTAAAGTAAGTTTCCATAATCATGACTGTACCAAACAGATTTTTTTATAGATATATGGTACCATCATTTGTAATACCTGCTCTTTTAGAACTGCAGGGACCACAGTACAGGTGATTTCTGTGAAATGTGTGAAGATGGCTACATGCTGGCACGCAGCCCGGACGGACGCCACACCTGCCAACCCTGTGCCTGCCCCCTCTCCGTCCCCTCCAATAAGTAAGCCAGTCTGTTCTTCTTTCTGCAGCCGCAAAACTGCGTGTTGGCAAGCAGCAAGTAATTTCTGAAATACTTTCCCCTGTTTGTCCGGCCAGCTTTGCAGTGCACTGTGACAGAGGAGGTGCCATTCTGCGGTGCAAGTGCCAAGAAGGCTATGCTGGACATTTCTGTGAGAGGTCAGTGCTGACACGGCTTTGAGCAACCAGTCAAGAAGTTATACAAAAAAAACCTAAGCAATGAGGCTTTCTGCACACATTGCACACAAAAACTGCAGAACAGTGGGCAAAGCTTCAGACGTCAAGCTGTCCAAGATTGTAGATCACAGTGCAAGCCACTGTAGAAGGCCTACAACACGTAACTATGCAGCAAGTGCTGTATTTTCCATCACTGCTTAAATTACATCAGATTTTTTTTCCCCAAAAAAGTTGTAATTGAATTAAACAAATGAACACAAAACCAATTATTACAACTATTACAAACAGCAGACTGTGGGTCCAGTTCCTCATTTGCTGGTATAACACTAAAACTTAAAGATATAATGTCTAATATTTCCAATAACCTAAGATATATATTTTGTTGTGTACTTACATTATCCCAAATGTTCAAATCATCAACATATGAAAAATAGATATTGCGTCTCCACTTCTTCCCACTGTGCAAAAATGAGCCAAAATATCCCAGATACCACTGCTGCCGTCTTTCGCCATTCATGGAGCCTGAGTCTGCGCAGTAGGGATTTTGGTGTTGGTGACTCAATCACGAACAGGGCTCAGCTGTCAATAATGACGTGAAACTCCCTTTTTATGTCTTCAAATAACTAATTAAAACTGAACTTAACGTAACTAAACGTAATACGAATAAAACTTTAATACAATGCCTGAGTCACGTCAGAAAGATTTTATCAGAAATGCTGATTGTTTACTAATAAAGACAACAATTCCCATGATCCCATGCAATTTCACAACAGCATTAAACTACGTCTTTTGTTTTTTTTCATGTGAGAGACCCCTTGGCAAAAAATGCAAAACTGATATACTGCAGGTTTAAAGTTGGGACCAAACCTACAAAGACTGGACAATCCACACACGGCACAGCTTTTATAGTCTCAGAATCAATATGTGAAAGCATAGATGGTGATTGGTTCTCCACTGAAAGCCTCACTTCCCCACAATCCATTGCTGCGACGAGAAAATTAAATTTTTACTGAAGTGTGTGGCTACATGTAACAAACAATAAACCCACAAATATTAAAGCCTTTATGCAAGAAAGAAAGACTCCATTGTAAAATACTCCTTAACTTCATTGTAACAAGCAGTGATATCATCCCTTCCAGGTGTGCTCCAGGTTACTATGGCAACCCGATGGCGATTGGTAACTCCTGCAAGAGATGTGATTGTAACGGCAACTCCGACCCTAACCTGATCTTCAACGAGTGCCACAACGTGACAGGCCACTGCCAGCACTGCTGGGGAAACACCGGCGGTGCCAACTGTGAGAGGTGTGCCCCGGGTTTCTACGGCGACGCCATCAGTGCCAAGAACTGCAGAGGTGGGAGGAACAAGCAAACTATTGTTGTTGCTTTATGTTGTAAGAAACCTGAAAGATTCGACCTGTGCACCTTAAGCCA